GCCGATTCTTCCAACCCCGTTCCCTTGGCAGTGGTTTCGCAGGATGGTGGATAGGGACAGTGGGAATCTCGTTAATCCATTCATGCGCGTCACTAATTAGATGACGAGGCATTTAGCTACATTAAGAGAGTCGTTGTTACTCCCGCCGTTTACCCGCGCTTGGTTGAATCTCTTCACCTTGACATTCAGAGCACAGGGCAGAAATCACATTGCGTCAACATCCGTTGGGACCATCGCAATGCTTTGTTTTAATTAAACAATCGCATTCCCCTTGTCCGCACCAGTTCTGAGTCGGCAGTTTGATGCTTAGGGAGGGAGAGTCCCACGGCCCCACCCGAAAGGTGGGGACATAAGACATTCTACGGTCGTCGGCACACCGGCACGCGGGCTCCGCCGTCGCCGCGAGAGCAGCTCAGGCAGACCACCGGCAGCCAACGACATCGAGGCGCAGACCCCTAGGCCCAGCCCTCGGAGCCAATCCTTTTCCCAAGGTTACGGATCCATATTGCCGACATCCCATACCTACATTCTTCCTTTGACCAGAGGCTGCTCACCTAGGAGACCTGATGCGGTTATGAGTACGGCCTAGCGTGAGAGGTACCCGCAGCTCCAGATTTTCAAGGGCCGTCGGGGGCGCGCTGGACACCACAGGACGCGCGGTGCTTTGCCGGGCGCTGCACCCTATCTCCGGTTGATCCGATTCCAGGGTGGGCGAGCCGTCAAGAAGGAAAGAGAACCCTCCCCACGGCCCGGTTCAGGAATATTAACCCGACCCCCTTTCAATGTGCGGCGCGCAGTGCGCCCTTGATACAAGGTTTCCACATCTCTTAGGGCCGACTGACCCATGTCCAAGCGCTGTTCACATGGAACCCTTCTCCACTTCGGTCTTCAAAGTTCTCATTTGAATATTTGCTACTACCACCAAGATCTGCACCGGGACCCGCTTCACCTAGGCTCACACTCAAGGCTTCGCAGCAGGCCCCGCGCCCTCCTACACGTCGCGGCGTCAGAATCGCCGCGACGGCCGAGCATATGTCGCGCGCTTCAGCGCCATCCATTTTCGGGGCWGATTGATTCGGCAGGTGAGTTGTTACACACTCCTTAGCGGATTTCGACTTCCATGACCACCRTCCTGCTGTCTGTATCAATCAACACCCTTTGTGGTGTCTGGGTAAGCGCGCAGTTTGGCACCGTAGCTCCAGTTTCGGTTCATCCCGCATCGCCAGTTCTGCTTACCAAAAATGGCCCACTTGGAGCTTTCATTGATCCTCGGGGTTCGCTTAAGCAACCCCGAAATCTTACCTATTTAAAGTTTGAGAATAGGTCGAGGGTCTTTCACCCCCGAGGCCTCTAATCATTCGCTTTACCCGATAAAATTGTTCAACAGCTCCAGCTGTCCAGAGGGAAACTTCGGAGGGAACCAGCTACTAGACGGTTTGATTAGTCTTTCGCCCCTATACCCAAGTCCAACGAACGATTTGCATGTCAGTATCGCTGCGAGCCTCTACCAGAGTTTCCTCTGGCCTCGCCCTGCTCAGGCATAGTTCACCATCTTTCGGGTCCCAACGGGCATGCTCACACTCAAACCTCTCAAAACAGATCGTGGTTGGCGGACGGTGCACCCGCAGAGGGTTCCTGCCACTCAGGTTTCTTCCGTCTCGTGGGCTTATCACCCACCGGCTCGCATGCACGTTGAACTCCTCGGTCCGTGTTTCAAGATGGGCACGATAGAGGAATTTCGCCAGCATCCCGAACACGTAGGAACCCGAACGGGCCTGCCGAAAGAGGCGCGTGCTCAAGGTCCTCGACTGCCGTGACGGCCACACTTAAGGGGTTTCAATCGCTCCCCACCGCAATGCTGGTCACAGCAGCCCATGCTGGCAGGCACCCCACGTCCAAAAAGGTGGGTGACAACATAGTGGCCGTCCACCCCTGACCAGACGGGAGCGCACGACTTCCCCTCCATCCGCTTTTCGCTCGGCAATTTCAAGCACTCTTTGACTCTCTTTTCAAGGTTCTTTTCATCCTTCCCTCGCGGTACTTCTTCGCTATCGGTCCCTCGCACATATGTAGCCTTGGATGGGACTTACCACCCGATTGGGGCTGCGCTCCCAAGCAACCCGACTCTTGGACAACACCTCGTTGCGCAGCAGGGTCCGGCGGTCGACGGGGCTGTCACCCTCTTCGGCGTCCCCTTCCAGGGAACCTACACACGGCCCACTGCAGAGAGCTTGCCTCCTAAGACTACAATTCAGGGAGCAACACAGCCCCCGGATTTTTAGTCTGGGCTATTCCTGATGCGCTCGCCGCTACCAAGGGAATCCTCGTTGGTTTCTCTTCCTCCGCTTAGTTATATGCTTAAATTGGGCGGGTGCTCCCGCCCGACCTTAGATCAAAAGGCAAGCCCCGACGTACCTCCACAGCTCAAGGCCGACACCCCCAACCGCAAGCCYACCTCAAGCTGATGGGAGCGAATGGAAGGCGGCGATCACACAAATTGGAGGGACGACCTTACGTGCCGTTTTCAGGGAAACGAAGACCACCACCCACAAACGGGTGTTGGAGGGTAACAATAGGGCGGAGCGAAACACACCACTCTGGGCTGCGGCCCCCACAGGCYCGCTCGGAATGCTCTCCAATTCCCTTACACTTTACGCTATCGACGCTCTCCAAGTGGGAAGCCACGACCACGGACCCCACCACTCTCCGAAACGGAAGGTGCTGAGGTCGTGAGGAATCCAATGATGCTCAGGCGGGCGTGCCCTCGGCAGAAGCCCTGGGCGCCACGTGTCTTCAAGGTATCGATGGCTCACAGATTTCTGCAATTCACATTCAGTATCGCATTTCGCGGCGCTCTTGATCGTTGTGAGGGCCAAGATATTCGTTTGCCGAGAGTTCTACAATATGGTGCCGTTCCGACGGGACCGACCCCTTGACCAGAACAGAAGGGGACCGTCAACCCGGACAGCGACAAATCATAGCAGGTACATCAATAAGGAGTTCCAAAGCCGTCGCCACCAGCCGCTGCGACGGGCCCGGCCGACCACCCGTTCGGGGGCCCAGGCAGGGCACCGGGGAGCA